GGCCGGCGGCTGTCGCGCCGCGCCGTATTATTAGAACGACGCTATGCGACTGGCGGCGAGCGACGGGTGGCGGCATCCGCTACACGAAGATCAGCCGTGGTGGCACGCGCGCGCCTTCCCGGTCGTGTTACGTTCCTCTGTGTAACGGTCGGCCCCCGTCGTCGCCACCGCCGCCGCCGCCACTGTCACCGTCACCGTCACCGTCGCTACGGCCGCTCGAGGAAAGCCGTGAAATCACTTGACGTCAGCATAACACAATGTGAGCGTGTGTCCCAGGTTGCCAAGCATCGGTCCCACTCGCGCGCATCACGTCTGCACAAATACATCGTGCATTCATCGTGCGCGCGCGACGACGTTTTGCTCGTTGCGCAAACGATAAACTTCCTCGTCGAAAGTCGGATTGTCCCTGTCGCTCGCACACTCGCACGCATGTACGCACACTCGCTCGCTCGCTCGCTCGCTCGCTCACTCGTTCGATCGCTCGATCGCTCGCGAAACGCTTGAGGTGACACTTCGAGCGAACTCGCTCGACCCAGCGGTCGTCTAACTTGTGAAGCTCTCCTTTGTTCGCGCCGGGGAGAGAGAGAGAGAAGCCTCGAATCTCGCTTGGAAAGAATGTGATCGGATGTATTAGTTGATCATTTGGATCTCTGTATGTATATACGTATATATATGTGTCTATCTGTATTTCTGTTAACGCTAGCTTTGCATCTATCATTGACGCCTCATTTAACTCTTCTTTCAACTTGATATCCTTTGTTTTTAGGCGATCGAAGTGTTTCTAGTGCGCAGTGTGAATCTTGTGATCACTGATAGAGTAGATAAGACAAGTTATACAAACGCTGAGAGACTTAGATGGGCTTGCATCAGCGGTGGCAGCGGGGGACCCCGCTCGCTGAGAAGCATCGAAGTCCCTACGCCTACGCCTACACCCCCAACGCCGTTGTTGAGTTCTGAATGCCCCTCATCCAACTCTACCAATCTACGGGGTCAAACTACCCAAAGATCTGTAAGTATAAGAGATGAAAGAGATGAAACCAGTTATATCATGCTTTTAATATATCACACAAAAACTATATCAAAATTGTCACAATTATAATGAAAAAATCAATGTTATCTGTGTATCCCACAGAAACTACATTCAAGATTACTTTGTTATTGTCTGTGTATTGTCTTAATATTGCTTAATCTATTATAGAAGACAATACATTAATTTTTTTACTGTAATATAAATAAATTTATGGTTTAATAATTATTCTAATTTCTCTAACTCGATAGAAATCGCGGGTGGATGCAATGTTGGAACGTGCTCTGACACAGCCACAGCAGTGTTCCGTGGATCCACTAGATAACGCCCACAGTTGGGGAATTCCTATCTGGACAACGGATAAGCTTCAGACTTGGCTTGACAAAATCTATGAATCTTTCAAGGATACTTATAACTTGAAGCAGCTGAAGCAAATCAATCAGCACAGCTCAAGGAAAGACTTGAAGATCAAGCATTTAAAAAGACCATACGTTAAATTTGACTCTATCTGCAGGTAACTCTATTCCTAGTGATGCTATACTGCATTTCAATGTTCTGTGCAATTCGTCTTGTAAAATTGTCACGCGTATTACGTCCCTTTTATTTATAGAACTACCAGACCTGTGTTCCTGGAATTATCGTTGTGGCCAACATTAAACTTCGACGGTGATCCTGGTTCGTGTCCTTTCGACACAAAGAAGAACGGAAAACGAGAAAATAAATTAACAAACAAAGAGGTCAAGGAGAATAAGAGGGATATTGAATCTATAAATAAGGCGGAGGTGCGTTATTCGCAGCTATATAAAACATGTGTATATTAATAAACATTAAAATTATTTAAATTGAATTTTTACGTCAAGAGGGTCATGGGCAATTTTTTTTCGCATGGACAGGGTAAAGAAATGACTCGGAGACCCCGTGCCACCACTGCACGTGCCCGCAGAACAGAACAGCTGGTCGCTGGCTATTGCGAAATTTGTCGTATTCATTATGACGATTTGTCCAAGCATGTGCAAAGCGAGCAGCATTTAAACTTTGTGGGGAACGATGACAATTTTTTGTCATTGGACACATTAATCAACGCGGGCGCCAATGTAGAGGCATTCTTAAAATTGAACAGAACAAAAGATATCGAGTAAGTAGCATCTGAAATATGCAATTTTGTTTTTATTGTTTAATTATATTTATGAATTATTGAATTATTTTATAAAAATATTTATATTTTGTGTATTTGCAAATGGTGTGTATTTGTTTCTGTTATTTCGTAGGAAAGACTGTGATTTGTTCCCCAATGGAGATGGCAATCTTCATAACGTACTGCCAGAGGAAAAAGTTAACAAGAACACCAAGACTTTAAGTAACTTTGTTAACGAAATAAAAATGGTGAATGGTGCACGTAGGAACCTTAATTTAAAATTAAGCTCGCCACATAATCTGCGTGCTCGTACAAAACACGAGAGCGGACATCTCCTCAGATCTAAGGGCAGTCCGTGGCACGAGGTCGACAAGAATGAGAAATTGTACGACAAGTTCGAGGGTTTTACCATTAAGAAGCGTTCAAAAGGTACTATTTGGATTGAAGAAGATGACCCGGATGAAAAGTATACCGAGAATATCCTGAAGGAACCCAAACAGGAAGACTACAAAATCAGATCGTTCTCGAATGATATTGGACTTTATAATAGTAAAGAAGATAATATCAGTAGTAAACATAATAATCTGGATCCACCAAATTTGCAACCGGCAATTGTACATAGCAATTCGCAAAATGGTATTATAAATTCGCGTCACATATCGAAGGATCCAGATTATATCAATAGTAAAAATGAATGTAATGGTGACGAAAACGCGGGTGTTTTGGAGTGTACGATAAACAAGAACGGTGTAATTGACAATAGTTATATTGTTGAAAATTGCAAAGACGATCCGTTTCAGAGAGATAATTGTGCGTTACAAACGGAAAAAGTGGCAGTAGATGTGAGGAAATTTTCGTTGGACGGTGCGAATGAGATCGTTTGCAATGGACATAACGACAAAAGCGAACAAAAGGACTTGAAAGCGTCGCAGAGAGAGAATATTAAACATATAAAATCTAAGCATCCGCGCGTGAATCGGAGAGGCGGTAGAAATATCAGAGGTCGACATCGACTTTCGGTGGAAGAACGTTTGATCGAGGACAATCGTGCTTACTACAAAGTGGAAGTGTTGGGTAACAAACTGCGATCGAGCGCGGTACCGGGTGGAAATCCACAACACGTGACGTCGAAAGATAGCGAGGGCGAAGAGAAGAAGGAAGTATCATCCAGCGAAAAACCGGTAGTAGTGCGGTTTAAACGTGTGCGAAAATCAGAATTGTCATTACTGAGTGACGAGGCGGAATCCTTCATGTTCGGCGAGCCAAAGCGGGACGATTCTAGCGAACTGACCAGTGATGGCGAACAAAGTAGCATGTTACCGAGAGATACGGACAGCAGCGAGGCTAACGAGACTATCAATTCATCAACGTCGCTAAATTCATCGATAAATTCCAGTCCCATCAAACAGGAAATTGTTGAGGAGGATTCGCAAGACTCTGTGCATCTGGGTAGAGCGAGGAAAAAAAGACGCACGCAAGCTGAAGTGTTTATCAAGGATAATACTGAGTATTATAAGTTTGAGACTCCTGGCAGTAGGTTAAGGTACCAGGCTCCGTTGACCGGTATAAAAGACATCGTCGCGGACGGCAACAAAGAGCACGTGATAGCGAAGGGATCGGCGAATGAATCAGAAGATTGCAAGCTACAAGACAGTGACGTTGTCGAGAAAATATATCCGTCCAAGCCGTCGGCGGAGATCGAGAAGATGCAATTCTCCTTTGAATCGGTACCCATGTCCGAACCGTGGTATCAGACGTATCAGCGTCAGGATACAGGCGCCGAGTTTTGGCACTGCTTCAGCGAATGCGACGCGATGAAGCCGTTTCTCTTGCCGTACGAAATCGAGAACTTCCCGGAGACTTTAATGAAGGCACAAAGTAGAATCGAGAACGGCAGGAGGAGGGGTCGCGGTCGCGGTGCCGGTTGTATGGGTCGCTCGCCAAGGAAGAGCCCGCGTTGCCACGCCTCCACGTTGGCCATTATGTCCACCATAATTCGTAAAAGAGAACAACAATCGATTTTACCTACGATAGAAGAATCACCGTCCATCAGATCGCGCACGAACACACCCAGGCCCGAGCAAAAGCCGGAGTTAGACATGGACGAGGAGCTGAAAGAGATGACAAGGACGATCGATGAAATGCTGAGTACAAAGGGTATGACCGAGTTGGACTTCGAGCCTGATTTAGACTTGACGCAGAATGATGATTTCTGTGGGACGAATTTACCGAAGGGCGCACCGCCAAATTTATTGGAATTACTTGACAATTGTCAGGACATTGTCAATTGTTTGGAAAATAATTCGTCATGCGCTAGTTCGGAATGTGGCGAGGCGAATGTGGACATTCCGCTGAGGCGACGGAAACGAAGGAAAAATCGGACCGGTTGGCCAGTCGGTAACAAGATGAAGAAAAAAATACAGGCGAACAATAAAATTCTAACGGATTGCGATCGAGAATCGTTGGAAAAGAGGCTTTATCCTGATAGCGGTTTTGTTCAACGTCATACGTTGAATACATCCAACAGACCATCAGAGGTGATAGATTCTCACACAGTAGCAACATCGACAAATCCAATTGTATTGCCGAGCGTTTCGGAACGATTAGCTATCGATCGGAAGAGCAGCAACGACGCGTTAGAAATTTGTACTTCCACCATGCCTCATAAATCATATCATGAGGCGCTCGCCAAGAGGGATAAGAGTACAGACATTGTTAGCAATGATAATACGGGCCTATCGGTAAATACGGACAAGCGTGTGGAGTTTACCGTCTCAGAGAACGCGTGCGACGACGGGTCGAACAAGACTCACCTATCGAACAAGGACTACCCATGTAGGAAAGATTCATCGGAAAGTGAAGAGATCTCGGAGAACAATTTGGGCAACAATGATAATTATGAAAACAAGAAGAATCTGTTCAGTAGGAAGGATGTCGTCAACGCGATCACCGAGAGGAGTCCGGTCGCAAAGTCGTCGGCCATCAGGAAACAACGGCAGCGCGAAAACGTCGCCGTAACCAGCGCTGATGACTGCGAGTCGCGAGATACGGAGATCGAGAATCAGGACAATTTGCAGTTGCAGTGTAAAAAGGAAGCGGAGTCCGGTATAGTTCCTAAGAAACACCATAATTCCAGTTCCGAGTTGTCGTTGCCGAAGCGACAATTGCGCGGCGGCAATTGCGAGGAGAACTCGTCCGACACGGGGGAATTGTTGAAACATCGTCGTCACGGTATCGTGTTCGCTACGACGCGGCGCGGTCGGATGGGCTCGCGAAGGCGCATCTATTCCAGGAAACGTCAGTCGAGGACGACCGTCGCCCGAAACAATGTCAATCTGTCGTCGTCCGATCACGGAGTGATATACGAAGACGAGAATTGTAAAAAGGATGCCTATTTGAGTATTACGTCGTGTAACAAGAAGCAACCGCCAGGCTCCGGAGTGCGCGGTAACATGAAGCGTAAAAGCGAGGCCATCTCATCGTCAGACAATATACAGGAAACATCCGATCCAACGACGGATCAATGCGTATTGTCTGAGCGCGTCAGTCCGTCGATGATGTCGTCCGCCGAACTCGAGCAGCGTCGCTCGAGTATCGAATTCCAACCGGTCGTGCGAATGATGAAACTTGACGATCAGGTGGATCACAGTATTTTGTCGACGGTGACGGTGGCGAGCAATCGGCGATTAAGAAGTTCCGGCGGCTCGTCGCGGTCAAATCCTAAACCGCCGAAGAAGCGTATCAAGTCTAGCCGAGGGCATTTTGGACGATGGTTGAAGAATAGCTGAAGACCTAAAGAACGAAAACGAAAAAGAAGAGAGGCTGTACTTCGGCTTAGATTTTGATGACGGTGATCGATTATCGATCTCGCGATCCGATATTTCATCCCGCCACAGTGTATATTGTGTATAAAAATATTATTTGTGTACGTAGAATAGTATTTAACAATGCATCATAGTATTATATATATATATATATCTCTTTAGTGATACCATTCTACTTAGTGACGTTCTTTCAGGTGGTTAGTTTTAAAACTCCCCACCCGGTATATCTCATTGTGTACATTCTTTAGATGCGGTTTCTCATCCCGGTAAAAAATTTTTCGTATATAAAATATGTCCATAAAAATATATAACTACATATGATTATATATTAATATATGCAATTATATATTAATACACATATTTATATATATTAATATATAATTATATATCATCACTCATATATAATTATATGTAATTATATTTAATTATATGGAAAATTTTTTATCAGGATTATGTTTTCGAAACAACTACATCATTTTTACTAGACCATGCCGTTGCTTATTTCTTTCTTTTTTTTTTTGTTGCATTTCAAGTAAATGAAAACTATGTGTACCACTTTAAAGACCGTCGTTTTGTTTAGATCATGTTTAATTATTTCTAATTAGATGACATTATATTTTAGGGTACGCAAGACTGCATACAGCTTTATAACATGTATCACACATACACACACACACACACACACAGACACACACACACACATATTTCCGTTTTATTGTGTATATTGAAAATAATATTCTATATTTTCAATTTTCCTCAGTATATACCCAAATATATTATTTCAAACAAAATTGCTGTAAGTCGCTCATGAGTTTGGAAAGAGAAATTATTAAAAATATGCAAATTTTCCATTAAAAATTATTTCATTGCACCTCTTTATAATTCCAGATAATTTTCCTTAGATTAATTGTCCAAACAAATGATTTAACTATCACTGATTAAATTCATTTTCTTCTAACAATATAATTTTGATTGTAAAAAAAAAAATAACCAATAATGAAGATTAAACTGAGTTTTTTGTAAAAATAAAGATCAGATAATTTGTAATATATCAATTGAAGCGGAATAATTAAAGCGACTATGAAATTGGCATCAACAATCCTCCAACTTTCGTCAGCGTATTGTAAATTAAGAATGACAGTTTCTTGTGTACAATTTTATTCATTTCTAAAATTAAAATTGTGATTTGCATTCTACAGAGAATTTACAACTTGCGTCACGTTAAACCCTCACGTTCGCGAAACGCTTTCTTCATTTCGGCTAACTTTTTTTCTTGTATTCTTTTCGCGACTGATATTTTTCTTCTAGGACACGTATTTGGGCCTCGATGGAGCGCTCTTTGTTTAGCAAGTTGTCGAGCTTTGTCATCAGAATTTCACGCGCGCGTTCCCTGTTCTCCCACTGACTCCTCGTCTCGTGGCACTTGACAACGAGTCCGGTGGGCTTGTGCTTCAATAGGACCGCATTGTTCGTCTTGTTAGTTGCTTGACCACCAGGACCACTGCCTCGGATGAATTGTTCTTCGAGATCGGCCTCGTCCAACTTGGGCACGTTCGAGTAATCGAGATAACGTTTGAACGATTTGGTACGAACTTGTACGAACTTGCTTCCATAATTAATCAAGACACTTGACAAGAGGAACTCATTGCGGCTGACCAACAAATAAACGCTATTATGATAAATCTTCAAACATGATGTGATCCTTGTCAACATGCTTTTCTTTTGTTTTCATAATCTGTCTCGTATTTTTTTTTTGTCTAACGTTATTTATACCACTTTTCTGGCTTCCAAGAATTTCATTCCCTTCTAAAAAGAAAAATGAAAGTCAACAACAACAACAACAATAACAATAATAATCTATGTTCTAGATTATTAACAATTTTTAATATTAATATATATATCAACGATCAAAATATAAAAATTGAAAGAAAAATTAAGTTATACGCTTCAGTTTTGTTTTCACTTCTTAAATTTTGTACATTTATACGTACGTTTAAAACAAATAAACTAAATAAGTCTAGACCAAATTGCGTTCAAATAAAAATGAATAATGCAAGCAGAATCTCACGACTAATTATCTTTTCTTAAATTTGTAAATAATAATATTTATAATTTAAATAAATAATATGAAAAACAATTTTATTTTCAATTAAAAATGAGAATCTAAATATAACAAAGATCAATCTTGCTTTTAGATTTAATAATGCTCTATGATTTAGGTTAGGTTAGAAATGATAGAGATTATAGACTATTGTATTTTGAAACACAGCGCGATTACCTTTAATTGAAAGTTTATCGCCGTCTCGTCAGACAGATCTTTGTTATTCTTGAAAGCCGTTCGGATTCTATAACGAAAATACTGTTTGTTCGTGAATGTTAAAGTTTCGCCGTATCTCAGAATATCTTTGTAAAGTCTCAGGACGGTTTGTCGGTTCATCGCGACTCATCGAAATCGCCGATTGACTGAACGTATGACGTACATAAAAATATTATCTCGTTTTGCGGATCAGTATAGCATAATGTTGGTAATTCACATAGAAATCAAACGTGAAAACACGCGCGATATGATCATCGTTATTTTTCGGAATGGATCAGCTGACGAGAACATCACGTACTTGTTATGCGCCACGTGCGAACTCCACACATTGCTTTTATGTTAATCATAGATTGTTGCGATTAAAATCATTCCTTTTCATGAGAACATTTGGGGATCATTATTTTATAATTGCTTGATTTGTTCAAAGATCTTTATAATCACAGATAATCACAGATTAAAATAAAAAATAATCATTCTTAGCTAAAATTGTAAAAAATCTTGCAAATATGTCTTCTACAAATTTTGTTGGTAGAATGTCAGCAAAAGTATAACAGAAAATGCCAATAGAATATAAAAATTGTTATCTATTTCAATTAGAAAAAAGAAAATATATTTATATGATAATAGATTGATTGAAGAACCCGAATAAGATTTGTTATTCTTTAATCTATTTAAATTGTTACGAATCATATATATGCTATCAAATTTTGTCGATGAAACATATGTTTACTGTGGATAATTGATGTCAATTTGCTAAAATATCCGATTTGAATTTACGGGCAAATCGATATATTAATAACATTTTATTTATTATAAGCTCTCTTTATATTGTTTTCTATCACTTGGTAAAAAGGAAAAAGACAAATAATTATAAAAATTAATATTATATTTTAAAAATAAGCAATTTGTGTAGTATAAAATATCTCAAATATGCATGTAATTTCTTATACAATCTTTTTTCACATTTCTTGAGCTTAACAAAGAAACAAGTGTCAATTAACACTAGAATTCCTGGAATTCGAATTCGAAAAGCTTCTGTATGACATCTTCTATTTGCAGTTCTTTCGCAATCTCCGTTATTAACTCATCCACGAGTTTATCGGATATCCTATAAGCGATATTATTCATTGTAAATATATTTAAAGATTAAAGTTCTTGAAGAAACTCATTTTTAACAATATTATATTTACCAAGCGACAATATCCCATGGTTTATTTTGTGTATTGCTAGAGTACATTGGGATCGATTGCATTAAACGCTGATATTCGCGCTTGTATTTCAAAAAGTTCATCTCAGTCTCTTCAGAAACAACAAGCTCGATGTTATTCAGTGAATCTAGCATAAATTTTCCTTCTTTCATCTGTTGTATTCAGCATATAACATTGATTAATATGTTTTCTATTTTATCAAAATATTTATAGTAATTATTCATTTATAATTTACCTTCGTCTCGAAATCTGGCAATTTCATTAAACTCTCGCAATCCGCTTGACACGACGCATCGCAATAACGAGGCACTTCTGGTAAATTTTCTCTCGACGATACACAAATCAATTGCATGTTTTTACCGTTTTTTCGCATGCCTGTTAAAGTTCTTTAAAAACAAAATACTAATTTTAGTTGTCTTATGCATAAAAAATATATATATTTATAAAATACAACATTCACACACCTGTTCGTTTTAGAATATTCACATTCACAATTACTGCCTACAGAAGAATGACATATATCACAGATTGTGCTCGCGTTGATTTTTGTTTTTGCGCTTTTAAGTGATTGATATTTCTGCAGAAATTCCATTAGTGTCTTCGTAGTAGTTTTAGAGTAATCTGATTCTGTCTCAGATTCATTCTGCATGGAAATTTGCAACGCTTATAATAGAATAGAATATCAAAATAATTGAAGCAACAATCTCAAAAAAATTAAAAGATTATCTTTTACAAAAGATAATGCACCTTATTGGAAATATAAGACATGAAGTCTGCTATAACCGGTACCAAATCAGATAAATGTTCCTCCGTAATTGTCGTCATTCTTTTCGTTAATTCATCATCATTGTTTGTGGAGGTATTCTTAACAATATTTTCTAAAGTTTCCGATTGCTGTTGATTTTGCAACTTATTAGAACATTTTCTCGATTCTTTGCATATCCTCCTTGTAAGCATTGCATCATTATGTCTTTCTTGCGTTTCAAGATTGCTGCCCTACAAAGCAGATAAAATATTTTAACTTTAATACAATGAATCTATCTTATATTATTGTAAGTAACGAATCATTTACATTATCTGAATCTATAGGTAATATATCCATCATAGTCTTTATATCTTCCTCTTTTGCGAATGTTTTATGCTTTTTAACACTAATCTGATTTGTGTTTTTAGATGTTACAGAACTAGAATATACTTGATCTGATATTGACTCATTAGGAATTTTTTTAGTGTCTATTGTATTATATCTTTTATTTCTTTGATAATAATCTAAAAGAAAATGTATAATGTAAAAGCTAAAATATCGTAAATATACATTTAATTTGTTGAAATAAAATGATTTTATACATACTAGTCTTAAGTTTAGAACTTTTCAGTTTGGAAGTTTTAGTATCCATATTGTACATGCTTAACCGATTAGATAATTGTTTGCGATTGGGTCGCTTTTTATTAGTTGAATGTAAAGTAAAGGATGCCATTGATTGAGTTTTGTTAGTATTGAGATCCTTATCCGCGTGCTGCTTCAATTTTGATAAAATGACATTGCATTTGCTTTCAATCTTCTTTCCCTGCAATTAGAGAGAGAATCTGTAAGTGTGAATCCGAATCTAATGATTCTCGCATTAACAAAACATAGTATATTATAAATTTGTATTTAATAATACTACCAATGGCAAAATATCAGTGTCTCCCGAATCAAGATAATTTAAATGAAGCCTGTCGCACATAGTCTTCAGATCAATAACAACTTGCAGTATCTCTCTAAGTTTTCCGGGATGACTTTTGGGAATAGAGGTAGGAATGTGTTTGCAATAGGCGACCAATGCCTGTAGTAACAGCTGATGTGCAGCGAGCAACTTGTGTTCGATGGCGTGCATGTGAAGTCCTAAACTTCTTTGATTCGGTTTTATTATTGCACGTGGCGAGATAACGCACATGTGTCTCTGAATATCTTTGACATATCTGTTAAGATCATACAGATAATTTCTCGAAAACCGTACAACAAATTCGGCAACGCACTGTTGTCGTCTCTGCAGCTCCTTAATCCCATCCGGTGCTGGAATATTTCTCAGTCTGAACATAATTTCGTCCAGTAATTCACAAACTCTTCTCTGCATCGTCAAGATTTTGTGCATGGTGAGCGGATCTGGTCGTATACAGATGACCCCATCCATGATGCCGTCGCGGCATGCACTGCTTTCAGGACTGGAATTGTACTCGGTACCGTTCGTTGCATGATGCAGCTGCCTCGAGGACTGTCTCTTTCGTGATATCGCATGACCAGAATGGGATTTTCTAACATATGATTTGTAAATCTTAGATCCATGTCTCTGTTCATAAGTTGAAGCATTATCTTCTTCGGGAATTGTGAGCAGCAAATTGGTGCTATCTGTTCCAGTATCTTTCATAACTGGCACTTTTTTCGGAGCCGAATCCCTGATATTATTTACCTATTACACGAGCTTTAGCAATTTAATCAATATATATTTATAATATTGTTTTTATAAGAAATTTGCTTACCTTTAGTTTTTTCTTTTGATCATTCTCAATTCTACTGCTGTCCTTTCTTATTCCATCTGACAAGGTATCCATCTCTAATTTTTAAGCTCCTTATCTGCCTCCCTCATACCCTTATCTAATAATTGTTTGATACTTTGGACAGATGGCTGAATGTCATTTGTATCATAACCATTCAACTCCTGTTGTCTGACAAAAGATGCCCAAGCATTTTCTTCTTCTTCTCGACATCTCTGTCTACGTACATCCTTTACTATGTACTTGAAATGATTTGCAGGCATGAACTTAAAAAAAAACAAAAAAGGAATAAGTCTCATCTGTTTTACTAGTAAAATAGTCTCAAATAGTCAAATCTGTTAAAAACAAAGATTTTGTCTACTACAAATTTTATAGCAAAGCATCACTAGAAAGATAAACAGAGTACAATAATAAATTGACTCCAAAAACCAAACAAAATTTATATCTTTTCATATTCATTTAAATAATATATTCAATTTAAGTGTACAGTTAATTACAAAATGACAAAATCCGCTTGGTTTGTGTTGATAATCTTATTGTCAAATTAACAATCAACAAGCTCCATTTGACATTTGTTTAATGCAAATAGATGTAAATAGAAAATAAATGCGAGCTGCTTCAATATTCTGTTCGAATCTCCTGGCAAATCACTGGTGTTTTCCTAACATTTGCTTTACCGAGAGAAATGTAAACGGTCATGAATTATTCTGAGAGATTCTGCAGGCTCTCTACCTTAAAGTTATAATCATCGTTTTCATCCTCGGAAAGGAACAACGTCTCCTCATTATCGTTCAGATGGATGGATTCTGCGGGATTCAAGAGGAGTGACATCCTGGCCCGTTGGTTATGTCCGGTAGGCGCGGAGGGATGCGCTCACTCGCGTTCCCTCGGCCGTGCCATAAACGACGGATATTAAAGGAGGGAAGTACGATTTTAAAAAACGGGACGCCGCGAGGGCACGACTCCTTGCATGGGGAACGCGAAGGACGGACGTGGGAATGCGAATTCCTTGTCCGGATCGTACAGCCTGAAATTGGTGCAGCGTGAAAAATCGATATCTTTTCCTTGTCGGATTTATGGAGAGGTGGTGATTCAAGGCTGTGATTCGACCGATACTTCAATCGATCCTCCGCGATAAAACATCTTTGGCGAAATACAAAATCAAGACCGAGAACGACAACGCTAAGTCAAAAAATTTTTCGTGCATAGTATATATTTTTTCTAATTCTTTCCAAAAGAAAATATTTCGATTCGAATTCGAGTTTCAATTCAGTTTATCCAAGCTGAAACCTATGATGAATCTGAGCAGAATCGAGAGCGCGATGAGGAATGATACTAAAAGGGAAGGAAAAGTACGCATCCGTTTTTCTTTTTTTTTTTTTTTTATATGCGAAACAACAGTCGATGCGAAGAACGGGCATCGGGGAAGACCGCAAGTTTTTGTCACCGCGTGCTCAGAAACGTGCGCTAGGCTGCGTGAGATACGATCGGAAGAGGCGTGGGCGCGGCCACGCGTCTTGGATCAATACTCGCGCGGTTCAGCGACGACGGGTTTACCCGTGACGGATGTAATCGGCCCGGTGGTGCTCAACGCGCGATCGACTTCGTCGATCAATCAATGAGAAAGGATTAATTTCTCATCCATTCCGTCCACGTTTGGCGGGAATCCTGACTGAAATTCTCTTCGACCGATTACGCGGCGCGATTAGTTAATTCAAGGCGAGTACGATTCATCGCGGGCGAGAAAAGAATCGCGTCGCGAGCAAAAAATGATTGAGTGCCACTACGCAAAGAGGACGACTCGTCAGTCGCGGAAAACGCGCGGGATTCGAACATTGACGTTGAGCCGCGTCCGGAATCGTTTGCGATTTTTCTCGACAAAATACGAAAGCGGAAAATAGCCCCGTTGACCGATCGACTCTTCGAATCACCGTCGTCCATCGTGTTTGCCGGAAAAAAGGTTGTCGTGATAAAATCACCCGAGAATCGTTGCGTGCCGCGTACCATTGCGCTCCATATTCAAACGCCACCGGCCAATCAGCGTGCGCGCACATAGCGCGGTGACGTCATGCTGCGCGCGCAGGACGTTCTCATTCAACCTTTGGACTCTGCACTCGCGTATTATCCGTTTCTCGTCCTGCGAACTCTCGAACTGTGCGAGCTCGAGTGTATTCGGTAAAGTATCTCAAATCGGAATACGATTGATTTTCTCATGATTTTCTTCTAATTTCCTCAACGCGTGCTTATTCACGATCATTACGCGGCACGTCGATATTCGTATTATTTGTTCCTCGCGATCATTTCTTGGCGATGTCAAAAGACATTCCTGTTCTTTATGGCGTTGCGAGATTCGTATAGTATTTAATATCCTGCGATTTTTGTTCGTGTCTTCTTATTAGCGACAGTTACGTGAAAAAAAATATATATCAATGATCGTTAGTTTTGCAACGCGTCCATCTCTATTGCATAGTAACGTTCGAGTTTTTACGGGATTATAATGGTCGCTTATTGTGTTTCTTCGTCGTTCGTTTCTTTACTTAGGTCTCATGAGTGCAAAATGATAAAATAATTTATGGACTTATGTTTTTCAAAAATAACATGAATTTCTCTATAATCAAACGTAGATTTTTTTTGTAGTTTTAGGCAGTATTTGGATCCTTATGTCTGTTGTAAATGATACTTTTAATTGTAAAATTGCATTTTCTTTTAGGTCACCTATGCTAGAGCATTCGAGGAAGTTTCGTTTGCATTAATAGGCTTAGCTGTGTGACAGTATTGATGTGTGACTTGAATGTGTGATACTTAAATTATTGGAAAAGATAATAGATACCATAATAATAGACAAGTGCAAAGTAACTAGGGTGAGGAATAACTTGTGATTGAGATTCACTGATAACTCCAAGATGACATCTAAAGTGCTGATGAAATTACCAACAGTGCCCTTCCCTCAGGTGAATATATGTTTATGTCACTAAATATTAAATTATTGCATAATGATTGTTTTTTATTAGATTAAAATATATTCATATCCATATTTTTAATATTCCTTTTAATTGTTAAATATTTTTTTAACGTTAAAAATATAAATATTTGCATACGCATTGTATAATTTATCATCAATAAAATTTAATTCTTTGAATATTAAGAATTTCAAATGTTTAAATATATAAAATATATGATAAATATATAAGTCTTATATGATTATTCATATAATAGGGGAAGAAAGCACCACCAGACTTAGTTTCTTTGAGCGAGAGGAACGATGGATTTGCACATGTTAGACATCAAGGTCTGAATGTAGATAGAGTGATGCAACTAGAGCAGAACATGAAGTTTTTGCAAGAACAACACCAGGCAACTTTAGTTGCTTTACATCAGGAGATAGAATGCTTACGTCAAAGAAATAGAGGTAATGAAGATAGTGATTAATGTTTATTTTCTCTTGCTTTAAATATTTATTTTCTCTCTTGAAGTATTTTGGTTCTAATCTACTTTGTAAATCTCTACAGATTTGCAATTTCAATTAGTATTTTCCAAAAGAGCACACTATGGTGTGGCTAGTAGTCCTTCTTCGCCTGAAGATAATGGAAATGGGTTTGCGAAATCGAAGGTACTTACAATGTAACATTGTGAATATTTAATAATACTTATATACCTCTTAATTTTTTTTTCCAAAGAATATTTTAAGTATTAATATAAAGATTTAAATTCTGATTTGAATTCATATAGGGTAGCCCAATATGTGTCAATGTAACACCTTTGCAAGTGGAGCTTCTGGAGAAAGACTTACAAGATATTAAAGTGTCATTACAAGAAGCAAAAACACATAACCAGTACTTGTCGAATATCATAGAGCAGCAAAAAAAGTTAGTTGTTTTTCAGAAATGTATTATTAACTATATACAGCTGTGATGATAAACTAATGGTGCTTTTTTTCTGCAGAAGATTGGACATGGCCGAAGATCAAAGAAACAAAATTGAAGTGGCGGATATAGGAGTTCAAGTTGGAGATCCTGTGCAAGCAAGTTTAGTCGTGCTTTTGGAGGAATCGTATGCGATGGTGAAACGGTTACATAAGGAAAATGTGGATCAAAAGAAGGAAATAGCTTCATTGAGAGCAGCTTCTTCAGCAAATAATGCTGGTACCAGTAGAGGCGGACGCTCCCGTGACGGTAACAATACCCATTATAATCGTGGTTCGCCTACGAGTACAACGCAAGAACAAAACTCTCGTAAATTTCCGCCGTTACCAATACCGAGCTACTGGCACCGCAGATCAGCAAGGTACAGAATTTACAAAAATTTATTACAACATTCATTTCTATAAACTGTTGAATTGTTATAAAAAATGCTATAAAAAATGTAATGCAATTATAAGATATATAAAAATAAACTAAAGCTTGTATGTAAATTATTTTAGATACAGCACGAATCGACACGAGAAACAAGATCATCAGACGGATACGGATTCGACTGTTCTACCACAGCTTCAGAATGGCAGCGTGAAATCAGCGGAAGCGGGCAGTTTCGAATCGCCGTCGTATCGATCGCGTGAATACCGCAATTATGGTCGCGATGGTAATAATCGCAAGTATAGAGGTCAAGCATCACGAAGAGACAGCAATCACTATTATCATTCTCGCGATTTTAAAGACAGAAATTCCAAGGATCATCCGAGAGACGCAGATGATACTGGCGAGGGATCGAAAGATGCGAATAATTCACGGAGACAGTAGGCAAAATATATGTTGTCGATGCATAGAAATCGCGTGAAATTTGACGAGCTTCTAGTTCCTCGCGTTGGAATGCATTGAGAATTATACCAGCTGTAAGAGCTATCGGTAACAAACGATCGATGTTTTCTTCACTGGTGCTGATTGCGACATTTCGTGCATATATAACATGTAATAGAATAGCGACGATGAATGAATATAAGCTGTACGATTTTCGATGGAATGATCTAGTCTGTATACTAATTTTACTCGTTATAGGCTGCCATAAAGGAATAATAGGAATTCGCGCTTTGTAGATTGACGATAATCAGCAGAGTGTTTAGCGGAAAACTATTTGCTAGACGACGAGAAGATTTTTTTCTTCCTACAAAAACGAGAGAAAACACGACCAAGAGCTCACTATAAGTGCTAGCTTTTCGGCTGACGCTCGTATGTCACAATCTTGAGCTTAATATGCGTGCAATAATCCGATGCTGTCGATGCATGTGTGTGTGTATGTGTGTGTGTACGTGTATTAAACTTTCAATCGATAATGAAGCATTTGTCGCTTCTAAGAATCGAATCTAGTCATTTTCGTATTCTAATTAAAACGACAAATCGTTGAACAATTTAATATTATATATACATGCAAATAAGACATACGATATATATATATATATATATATAT